TTATTAACAATCAAACAGTGTTCACAAATTTTGAGACATCCTGTATATCAAACAGTAAATCAGCCCTAAAGTTCTTTCTTTAACGTTCTTGGAGACCCTCAAAAATTAAGAAGCAAGAAGCAAGAACCCTTACGGCTAAGAAGCAATTTGATTGTTTCGACGCAATTAAATTTGGGTCTTTCTGATTCCTCTTTGAACTATTGAAATTAAGAAATTCATGGCTGGAGCAAGAGAAATGAAGAACTTCTAAAAGTCAGAAACTCATGGTTTTCCATGCAAAACAGAGGCAGGATTATGTTTCTTGGTCTATAATAATTTTCTGAAGTCAATGTGCTTGCAATGATCTAGAATTCAAAATCAAATGCAAAATTTTAAAGTACCTGTGAGACGGTTAAAAAATCATGGCAATAGTGTAGCAAAGGGTTATTAAATCAGAGGTAGGCCTCAATCCGAAATAAGTTTAATGAGTTGAATAACACTTAGCCTCTCCCGTCCTTTTAGAACCGTGATAAACTGAAAAATGTCAGAAATTTTGGGCGATATCTAACTGTTTATGGAAATTGTACACTTTGCTAATAATATAGGTACCCGGACCTGTGCAAAACATCGAGTATCTGTTCGTAACTCTCGATCTTATGTGCGGTGTGCTTATTTTCGCTACCATCGTCGGTAACGTCGGCAGGTAAGATTATCAAGGAAAAACCCTGTTACAGGTATAGGTAGACACAGCTTGTTACAGTATGATATCCAACATGAGCGCTGCACGAACGGAATTCCAAAATAAAATGGATGGCATCAAGCAGTACATGGAATTGCGAAGAGTTAGCAAACAGGTGAGTTTTTATTCTAGGCGCTGCCTGAGCATATTTTGTAATATTATACTTTTGTTTTCAGCTAGAAATGAGAGTCATAAAGTGGTTTGACTATCTCTGGGCCAACAAGCAATCGCTCAGTGATCAACAAGTGCTGAAAGTGCTTCCTGATAAACTGCAAGCTGAGATCGCCATGCAAGTGCATTTCGAGACACTGAGGAAAGTTCGCATTTTCCAGGTTTGTGCTGCTTTCAAAGATTTAGAATCTTTTAAAAAGATATACCACAATTAGAATGATAACTGTAAGCTTTCAGGACTGCGAAGCTGGTCTTTTGGCCGAGCTGGTGTTGAAACTACAGCTACAGGTTTATCAATTAATTAGTTGGTAGTCCAAAAAACTCTTCTATTTCACGTCTAGGTATTTTCTCCTGGAGATTACATTTGCCGAAAAGGTGACATAGGAAGGGAAATGTACATTGTAAAGAGAGGCAAGCTGCAAGTTGTGGGTGA